AATATATATCAAGGAACAATAACACCCATTTCTAGATCAATAGAATTTGCGGAAAAAATCCCTGATGAATTAAAGGAAAAAACTCAATTACAAAGATTTTTAGGATGTCTAAACTATGTTTCAGACTTTCTTCCTAATCTTAGGAAAACTATACAACCTCTATTCCAACGACTTCAAAAGAATCCAAAACCTTGGACCAGTCAACACACAAAACTTGTTCAACAAATTAAACAAAAGGTTAAAACCCTTCCGTGTCTTACCATACCAAACCCTGAAGCAAATATGATTGTCGAAACCGATGCTTCAGAAATAGGATACGGAGGCATATTAAAACAAAAATTAACCGAATCTAGCCAAGAAACTATAGTTAGATTCCACTCTGGTGTCTGGATAGGACCGCAGGGAAACTATTCAACTGTTAAAAAAGAGGTCCTTTCTATTGTTAACTGCATATCTAAATTCCAAGATGATCTTATCAACAAAAAATTCTTATTAAGGGTTGACTGTAAGTCCGCCAAAGAAATTTTAAAGAAAGATGTTAAAAACTTAGTATCGAAACAAATATTTACCAGGTGGCAAGCTATTTTATCTGTCTTTGACTTTGATATTCAATACATTAAAGGAGAAAATAATTCTTTACCAGATTTTCTAACAAGAGAATACTTGCAGGGAAAAACAGCAGATATTCAACAACATATTCAAGATGGCTGATAAAAAGAACAAACGACCGATGACTGCATCGGACTACGTCAAAAATCAACCACACCTGCAGGGCAAACCCTTGACTATCCAAAACACATATTTAGCTCTCGCGAAATTCCCGCCACTATCATACTCAAAGGCTGTAGCCTCAGATAAAGGTCAAGCCTCTCAAACTACCCAAGAACCTCCCCAAAAATCAACCTATATCCTCAAACCACAAAAAAACCATATTCAAACTACCCATTTTATTGAACCTATTAAACTTAGGGAACTTCAAAACTATACAAACCGAATCTTTTATGAAGATTGCCTCTATCCAACTGATAATCTTACCAAAAATCGTACTTTTTACGAGTATATTCTGGTAGACTCTAAATCTATCGAAGTTACTCATTATCCCGATAAAACTAACCCAAACCTTATCTCCTACTCCACATGTAAAATACTTCGTATCGCTTCTATACAAGACCTTGGGTTATTAAACCTCCATACTACAACAAATTTTTCAACACCCGGATTCTTACCATCCGGCTATTCATATACAGATTATCAAAATGCCTTCTTCCGGTTTCTTTACCTCAGACCCTACGACCATTCGTGGTTTATTTCCTTTGACCACAACTTTAACAAATTTGTCCCTGGATGGTTCAATGAATGGTGGCATTGGTTCGGACCATGTGACCAAATATACCCACCTGAACTACTCAAATCAGCCTATCCATACTACCTTAAACACATACCCAAAAAAAACCATAGGTCCTTATCAAAAAATCATTTTCCACGCCGACATTGGTATACCATGGATCTGTTCGTGGCATTTTAACCTTACCCTTGCTTTACCAGATATGCCATATTCACTCGTCAAAGAATACCGCGTCAAATGGTGGGATAAGTACAATTTCGATCGTTGCTCGCTATCCAATATCAAAAAATTCTTCGACAACCTTCGACAAGACTATCATCTTGTCCAATCCATCTCCAAATCTATCCCTTTAGTCACTCCAAGCCAACTTACCCGACCTTTACCTACACCAACACCACCTAAACCAACAAGCCCAACTAAATCCTCAAAATCAACAAGTTCCACCTCCTCACGGAGGCATAAAAAAAACGAAAAATTACAGCAAGCCCTTCGCACGCTTAGTCAAGAACTCCTCGCTTCTTCTGACGACGAAGACAGTATCAACAACGATGACGACCACAACACGGATGAAGATCCTTTTAGTGGTCCTTTAGCTCAAGACCCCTTTGAAAATGTACAAATGTAAATAAAATAAAATAAAATAAAACCATCCCAGTTTTCTGATTCACTGTCAAGGTTGATGTTCCAGGCTGCAAGTCCTGACCGAAGGCCGTAAGACCGATGGCAAGTCGCCTTTGTGACATCTGAGCATCGCGGATAATAAAAAAAAAAAAACCTCATAGTATTGTATAAGTATAAATCTTTCTTTCAACGTATATTCTGGTAGACTCTGTATATTATTTTATTTTGCTCTTTGCAAAATTATTCGTCTATTCTGTAAAATAAAATACAGAGTATATCTAAGATGTACTCTATTAAAATATCAAAAAGACTTTTTAGAAGACTTACCAAGGCGGCGGGACCCACATAGAAGACTTACCAAGACAGCGGGACCCACCGAAACCCACATAGAAGACTCATCTAAATTTGTCGGCAAAACAAATTCTACTAAAGTATTATTAGCATCAAAGACAAAAAGATTGAGCAATAAATGACACAAAGCAAGATAAGACATCATCCAATAAAAATGAAGCAAGTATAAGTAAAATCAATGACTAATATTGCTTCAATGATCAAAGGCTCCTTAAAGCTCTCCGATAAATAGATGCATCCTCATTCACTTCAACACATGAGCAATTTTTGCAATCAACTCTCTCTCTAAAATCTCTCTATAAAAGCTTTCAAAGTTTTCTTTAAGTTTTAAAATTTTAAGTTTTCTCTACAATGGCCCTGTCTAGTTGAGACATGTTTTTAAGATATGTATTTTTTTTTTTATTGAAAATTTTCATTAAACTAATTTTGATGGGTTTTTGTTTATGTACTAAATAGTACTGGGCCTTACAATAATTCTTGAATGATCCTGGAAATAAAAATCCATTACATATGAGCTAATAGGCTAAAGCCCGGTTAATCTAGATGGCAACGCAAACACTAATCTACACAATGAAGAACACTGACAAAGACTCATGTGGCCACAAAAGCCACCGGCTCAGAAAGTGCACCAGGCTGAAGGAAACCGAAGTTGAGATTGAGGGCTTCAGATCTTAACACTCGAATCATAGTCGCCAATCTAAACCGTACTCTTTTATGCCGAGAACGACCACGACCACGACCAGAGAAGCGGCCCAACAATCCGATCATCACCGACCCTTCCAGTCGCAGCACAAGCCAGCTCCAACCTACACCGAGCGCAGCAACCATCCAGAATAAGCGTTGTTGAACAGAAAACCTCCATAGAACTCAAAGCAGATCCGAGATCTGAGATCAACCACAACGACTAACCACTACAAACCGAAGCTTAGACAAAGGAAGACAAGGATCAAAGAGGCGAAGACAGAAGCTTTATCTAGCACCCGAACGCAAGGACGATGGAAGAGGGAGAAAGGGACCATTGGAGAGGATAACATCGGGAGAACTCGGCTTAGCAGACTAATCCGACCTCTCCAAGCGGATCCGCGGATGAGGAGAGACGTCCGACACATCTTCGTCCAAGGAACCACACACCACCGAATGACTACGGAGACTAAAGATCCACCACCACACCGCAACAAAGAACCTATCCACTACGAGAACTCCATCAGAGGCCACCATAAGAGGAAGAGGGACCAATCAGCCTAGATATCGTTGAAGATCTTGGACATAACCCTCTAAGAGCCACCCCAAAAGCACTGAAAGGTCCCTCGGGTCCACCATGCACCACCCCTGGATCAAGAGCCAGGTCGCCAAAGCTCATAAGAAATGGATCCAACACCACGCATGAAGAGCCGAAGGCAGCAAAATGGTGGAGGCTATGCCTCTCACAGCAACGGCAAGGGCCGGACGCCGAAGAGGGCCAGACGCCGGAGAGGCAGGGAGGTGGCTTTGTTTTGGCGGCTAGGGCGAACTTTCGTAATTTTTTTGTCTCTCTAACTTCACGGTTAAATTGTCATTGATATATGTTACTTCTATTATAGTTTAGTTT